TTTGGGTTCAAGTAGATCATAAGGTTCACGGAAACTCGGGAACCGCGCCTACCTGATGAGCCCTAAAACGGGTGAAACCGGTCGTGTGCTGCCGACGGATTCTCAGCAACCTTATGAGTAGTACATTACAAAGATATACATGTATCGCGATATGTCGAATATCGTAGCGACTGAAACATGAGGCGGTCTGATGCAACAAGTTGCCTGGGGACATCACAAACGAGAGATTCAGCCGGGTTCCAGGTGTGTCTCTCGAAAAAAAAAACAAATTAGTTTGCAAAATGAGTGCATATTCACTAATTTCGTGCAATTTGGCTTCAAGTAGAACATAAGGTTGACGGGATCCCGGGGACTGCACCTACCTGATGAGCCCCAAAACGGGTGAAACCGGTCGTGTGCTGCCGACGGATTTTCAGTAACCTTGTGAGTAGTACATCACCAAGGACCTGTTAAATTCCAGGACAGGCACAGATATGTTGAACAAGTGTTGTGATGAAGATGTAGCCACGTTTTCACTCAGCGCGTCTTGCTTTGGGCGATGGTTTCCTGAAGTCTGCCTCATCTTTGTTCACTTGTGTGTTAGTGGAAGAAAAAGCGAGTTTGAAGAGCTTATGGTCTGACAGGTAACAATATGGTGTACGCGGTGCGCGGCGCGTAGTACAAAGTAAACACGTACTAGCGTTCGGTGTGACACCGTGGTGCTCATTGACTTTGAGTTTCTAAAGGGCACTGTGAAAAACTCACTTGTTTTGAGCTGTACACCTGAACAGCACCTGTTATGCTCCACTGAGCTCATTTTACACACACACGTGTCAAAATGAAACCGTTTTTCTCTCCTGCTTTTGCGCCATCGTCTTGAATCTCCCGTTTGAGGAACTCTGAAGAGGTCAACTATTTTTGAGGGATCCCCGTGGAAGGTTAGTGCTGGTCCATTTAGTTTCAAGATTTCAGTGACAATCAGTTCTACAACTTATAAGTGCAGAGTTCCAATAAACTGACTTCAATACACTAGTTCGAGTCTCTCTCTCTCTCTAATGTGTTTACCTGACGTACCCCAGGAGAGTGAAAAATTGTCATCCCGCTCTACATCCACTCGTGTCCTTCATCGCAGATAAATAACGAAACAGACAAAAGAATCCTATTAACCCCCACATGTAATTTCACACGCACGCACGCACGCACGCACGCACACTCACACACCATCACACGGACACACAGACGTATGCGCACATACGCGTGGCCTACGCCACGGAAACCGTCCCCGGTGGGGCAACCCGACAGTGTTTGCGGGTGTGGTTAGCACTCAACCGTTGAGATGTCCAAATCGTTATCAAACCACCCGATCGTTACTGATGCTTCGCCCGTGGTTTCTTTCAGACAGGGCGAATGACAGAAAGAACAAATTTGCCACTCTGGAATGCATAGTTTTTCCCGTGGTTTTTTATTTTACGACGTCCAGGGAGTTTGTAAGAGATCATCATCATCATCATCGTCATCATCATCAACCACCATCATCATCATCATCATCGTCACCATCATCATTATCATCAACGTCATCATCATCATCACCATCATCATCAACGTCACCATCATCATCATCGTCATCATCCCCCTCATCGTCATCATCATTATCATCATGCGGCAACATCAGTGTGGACACCAGTACTGTCCCACTGTCATAAAACCATAAAGTTTATTGAATTGTACTTTAAGCTTCAATTTGAAAAGAAGGGGAAAGAACGGGTGAAGGAGAGGACGTTGCAAACATTCTGGGGTGCCCACACCCCCGAGTGCTCATTCAGACAATCTGGAAAAAAGTGACTACACGAACGCCATTGACATCGATCAGCGGCCATTTATTCCAGCCAAGCACAGGGGTGGTCTTGAAGAACTCATCCTGGAAGGCGTACAGCACCAACAACACTCAAACTCTTTCTAATATCTTTCGCACCCTTCTGGCAAATCATACGTTGTCCACTTTGCGGTTTCCGCTATTCTGAAGGAGGTACGGAAAACAGCATTCGTCTCGATAGACGGTGTTGCGAAATCAAATACCTCGTTACTAACATGTTGACGCTATCCAAAACCAGCCACGCTTCTGAGGCACCGGTGGTCGAAAACGTGAAGTTATCGATAAATCCGGTAAAAAAAACAGAGCACCTTGAAAGGATAAAGGGTGCAGAACACTTATCACTTGACACTGGGATGAATTTCCTTCGGTCGGGGTAGTGAAATGCTTTCACGTCCGAGAGGATTTAAGTGCCAAGGCTGTCCGCAAGTTGCCCCCTGGATGTGGGCTTTGCTTAATAAGACATCTCGTAACGAGGGCTGTTCTCCTTCCAAGAAAAGTTCCTGCCCTAGACACGTACATTCTTGTACGTCCCTTATCATCTGCTTCTTGGTTTATCGGGAGAGTGACTAACTATGTTTAGTTGTACTCACAAAGCAGAAATGTGTTGAAGCTGTCGAGAATGTCGTAGAAAACGGAAATTTCATCTGCGACCCTTTGAAACGATGTTGGTTATCACCTCTCTACTTCGATTCATTCGTCAGCTGTTACACGGAATGTCTTGTTCATTTTAAAGCGCTGTTGTTGTTTACCGTAAGCAAAACTCGGTTAAAAGCATGAAGTATTTACTTAAGATGAAGGCCAAGTTCCCTAGCACCCATCCTGATCAATGTTTTGAATCACAGCCGTGAAGGAATAGCCCAAAACTATAATCGATATCGTAACCGTTGTCGCGTGACAAGCGTTACCTAAATCCAATCTCGATGGGGCAATCAACTGAGTATTAGGAATGTACAGTCATTCGAAAACAGCGCGCTACATTGCAAGCTGGCTCAGATCTTAAGTGCCCTGTACTATGTTTCTAACGGGGAAAGGTCACTTTAGATTATTTTCTGGTTGACTGTCCAACTCCTTTTTGCTGACATTGCAATTTTTTATCTGTTGGAGACAGAAACGCTATTGTTATCCAAGCTTGGGCGGCTCTTGTCAGCAAGCCGCACGTCAGTTTGAACAAAGGCATGTTTGCATCCGGTATACCGGAAGTAATGTATGCTTCTAGGCTTTCGTTTTAGGTCACTGTCATACCGACCTCGATCGTTTACTTACGGGACAAACCTGCTTCACTTGTCCACGTTTGGCCCCGAGTGAAACTTCACAAGTTTCTTACTACTTATAAACTAAAAGTAAGCAATCAGAAAACAACACTAATTCTCCTGGGGCTCGCATGGGAAACAATGGTTCCTGCAGGTGGCCTGTTGGATTGGATGGGCAAAATGAACTGCAAAAAAATCTGGGAAAATTGGCTGTGGCTGCCCAAAACAGAAGTGGGTGGTATGTTTAATTTTTAACGTCATTTTTCAAAAGTCAGCCTGGAAAAATGTAACTTCGTTTTTGATTTCTTCCAACAGCAACTTTGGCGAGTAACCATGTGCAACTTGGAAAAATTGGTCGTACTACCGGCAATGGCGGACCCAAAGCAGGTAAGCGCTCCGCGACGTCCAAACCTGTTTACTCACTCAAGCGTCTTCAGCTACCTGCACAAGGATCAAAATATAGCAAAGTGTGGTGGGCTTTTTTGATATGGTCACGTGTTATTTGAATGAAATGCGAGTGAAACATATCCGGTTGTTGTTAGAACCCAATTCGGTGTTCCTGAGTTGTCACCATCGTGTTCACCTGTGAAGACGGCATGCATGCACAGTGGTTGTAACTACCACAGTTTCGTTCGCTGATGATCTGGGGAGGTAGCGGTATATAGCTGCCTTTTGGAGACGGTGACTGATAACAGGTTGTCAGTGGACTTTTAATTGTGAAGGCCAGGGGAGGAACCTGGGCATTAAAGATAACGGATTGGATGCGTGCGCGCTATTGGGCGTTCGACTAGGTCACCTCCAGCAGTCTCTCTAACCATTTATATGTCCAATCTCGGGAACCCCGTCCAGGGGGACGGCAATGACCAAGGCGGTTTATTTTTCTGATAATGGCTTCGTTCTCAAATCACTGCTTGACCTCTCCTTGCTCATTTCCATCCTCGGCGTGTTTGCGAGAAACGAGCCCCTTGAGGAAGCCGGTCTCCTGGCATAAAGAGCACGCTACCAGGTCAGTTCGTTCATTGTGGGTGTGAGGATTAAATTTCGTACGTATATCGGTATAACCCGACAAACTAGAAATCCAGAATTCAGCGAAGAGTGGCAACCAGCACGTATGTATTCGAATTGGTATGTATGTATGTATTCGAATGTATGTATGTATTCGAATATGTACAGCATATGGAATATTAAAACAAGAGAATAATGAATAGAGCAATGAATAGAGCATCAGTCATGTTCATCACATCCGCCACACCTTGAATGAGCGTGCGGGTGTTTATAGTCCAGTGGTGGTCTTGACCGCAATCTTTCGGATCTTCTCGGAATGGAAACTTCAGAATCTTCACAGGTAGTACGTTCTTCAGATACAGCATTTTGTTCGGATACCACAAGATCATCTACAAAGGACTCATTAGTATTTGAAACAGCAGGAGTGCCGTTAACAGACTGACCTCTGGTATTGAACTCAACCTGGTCAATGTGTCTCCGATGACAAGAGAGATCATCCAAATCGAGAATTGTGACCATTCGTTTGCCATTTGATGAAAGCACTATTCCTGTTGCGGGTCGTAAATCATTACCCTTGAAAAATGTAACATCAGCCGTTTTGGCACAGTCAAGACTTGTACGCAACGAACGAGATTTAAATAGAAGCGCGGGACTCTTCCCAGTAACGGAATGGACGGCGTTCCTGTATTGCATTAGAAAATTATCAATCCCACGGTCCAATTCCACAAAAGTAGTGGGAGAGAGTGAAATAATAGCAGATTTAAGTATTCGGACAAAATTTTCAGCAAGTCCATTCGACTGGGGATGTCGCGGAGCAGTAAACAGATGTCGACAACCAAGACCCTTCAACCATTCCTCGAGGAATTTTGCAGTGAAGTGTGTGCCGTTGTCAGTGACCAAAACAGTTGGTACACCTTCGTGGCTGAATACTTTCCTCAAGGCTTGCTGAGTGAATTCGGCACTTGGAGAAGTAGTTAGAAAAACTTCAGGCCAACGGGAATATGCGTCAATAAGAATTAAAGCATAGTATTTACCAAGAAAAGGACCACAGTAGTCAGCATGAACTCGTTGAAATGCTTCACAAGTAACTGGCCACGGATGCCACTGTGAAGACTTGTTATGAATCTTATGTGCACACTTAACACAATTCTTAGCAGTATGCTTGATATCAGCATCCAGTTCCGGCCACCAGCATGACAAGCGTGCAAGGGATTTCATTTTATCGACACCCAGATGACCAGAGTGTAAATCTGCAAGAACAGCCGCTCGCTGAGTCGGTGGAATGACAACTCTATCCTCAAAACACAGCAAACCATCCGGAGTAACGGACAAGCTTTCGCGGCGACAGTAAAAAGCAGGAAATCGGCGTCGTTCTTGCTGCGTCCAGCCACGTCGCAGTGCAGAGAAAATGGGAGCGAAATATCTTTTAGTGTCAGCAACAAGCACATCCCGCTTGACTGGTAATGGTTGAATCAGTAGACAATCTGAGTTGTTTGAATCAGAGTCACATGATAGAATTCTTGACAAGAAATCGACATGAGGAATCATTTTCGCACTACGATGAACTACTGTGTAGGTGTAAGAACTCAATGCAATAATCCACCGTTGCACCATAGCGGCAGATGACTTCGCCAGAGACTTCGTTGGATGATACAAGAACTTCAAAGCCTCGTGATCAGTAGCAATGGTAAAGTTCAATCCAAAAAGATACTTATGAAGCCGTTTGACAGCCCAATATACAGCAAGTGCTTCTCGTTGAGTCTGAGAATATCCACGTTCGGCTTTTGAAAGTCGACGGGAAATGCAGATCACTGGTCTACCACACTGTTCAAGGATTGCTCCTATTCCAGTGGGAGAAGCATCAGTAATGATCGTCGAATGATGTTTGGCGGAAAATGGCTTCAAAACAGCTGAAGTCTGAAGATAACCAAGCAGTGCACGCAACGCCTTCTCATGGTTGGAAGACCAAGAAAATTGATTGGAAGATATGATATCAAACAGACAACTTGCGTGTTTGGCGAAATTAGGAATGAAACGAGAGTAATACTGAAGTGCTCCTAGAACTGAACGCAGTTCTTGTAGATTGGTCGGTGATGGCGCATTTACTAAAGGGGATAGACGTCTTGTATCAGGTTTAAAACCGCTGCCATCCACAATGTAGCCAAGGCATGAAAATGATGGGACACCAAAAGTGCATTTTTCAGGATGAATAGCTACATTGAACTCAGAAAATCTCTTCAGTAAAGACAACAGACGCATATCATGGGTAGCTTTGTCAGCAGCGTGCACAATGACGTCATCTTGGTACGTCTCAACACCCTCCAAATCTTTTGCAATAGTATTCATAACTTGCTGAAATACAGCTGGTGAAACGTTCAGACCAAAGGGAAGAAAATTGTATCGGAATAACCCAAAGGGTGTGTTGATCACGGTAAGGTTACTGGAGGCTTCGTCCAGTGGTATTTGAAGATAAGCATCTTTTAAATCGATTTTTGAAAACACACTTGAACCTGATAAACGATACAATACATCTTCTGGCTCTTCCGTGGTGCATGTACGTTGTAGTAGCCGCGTATTTAGCGTAAGCCGGTAGTCACCACAAATTCTCGGAGTAATACCATCAGCCTTCAGTGGGGTAACGATCGGAGTTGCCCAATTCGATGACTCAACAGGAGTCAGTATTCCTTTCGCACACATTGAATTTAATGCTTGACGAACAGGCTCGCGTAAACCAAATGGAATAATCCGTCTCTTAAGAAATATAGGCTCTCCTGTAACTTCGAGCCTCATCTTGGGAATTTGCATGCCACCTGTGGCCTTAGAACATTTAAGAATCAGTTGCTTGAGTTCATTCTCATTCGCAGAAGTCAGTAAGGTGATACTGGTTTGCAGTAAGCGTAGAACTTTGAGTCCGACGATCGATGGTCCCGACGTTGATACCAAAAAATTACAATCGATACAGGTACCTTGTAGTAACCTCACAGGGATCGTGCAACTACCAACGAGAGGTACAGAATGTCCAGTGATACCGCGAATGTTAATATCTGTAGGCACTATCACGGCACTGGGGTAGAATGCAGTTAGATCTGATTGTGGAATGATGGACTCAACACTACCAGTATCAACAATAAAGCCATGCTTTTGACCAGAAGCGGATATCAACGTTTTAAAAACATGTGACGAATTTTGGGACAAAACAGATAGAGAAAGAGTAGAAATATCTTCAGATAATGTCTTCACGTCAGTGTTTGGGTCAGAAGTTAAGTGACACACTTTCTTGGACTTACAGACAAGTTGAATGTGTCCTGTTTTACCGCAGCTAAAACACTTGGCTCGTCTGTGGGGGCATGAATATCTGGAATGGTTTCGTCCACAAGACTCGCATTTCCCGAATTTTTGAGCCATCGGATTAGGGTTACGATCTGTGAAGTGACGTGTTGATGGATTTGAGGCACGAGAATCTGTTCGAGGTTTGAATTTGTTGTTCGTCCGCATCCTTGAATTATTTCTTTTAGAATAATTTAACAAGACTGCTTCCTCAGTCTTCGTCACATGCTTCACATCTTCATACTGCTCACATATTTTCCGAATAGTTTGAAATTTCTGATCCGGACAGAGTAACAGCTTCTGCTGTAATTCGGGCAGTTGAATGCCAGCAATGAGTCTATCACGCAGCTGGTCTTCCAGTTGGGCACCATAGTCACATTTGGCTGCCTGTGTCTGCAGCTGTAACACGAAATCACGAACCGACTGAGAATGAGAGCGGGCTAACATATTGAACTTAGCTCTTTCGGCTGCTACGAAGTTAATCGGTTTGAAGTGTTGAAGAACTTTGTTTTTCAATGCAGTGTAAGAAATATCAATTGGAGATTCAGGATATACTAAATTCTTGATCAAAGTATACGCCTCCTTGCCAACGAAATGTAGGAAATATGCAGTGAGTTTCTTATCATCCATATCGGATTTTGTGAGGCACCATATGTCGAATTGTTCCAAATAATCCTCTACGTCACGCGCAGTTGAATTAACATCTAATGGTTTTATTTCTGCAGGCATGATGAATTGTTCCAATCGCGACGCCAAAATGTGAGAATTAAGTTTCCTACGTATATCAGTATAACCAGACAAACGAGAAATCCAGAATTCAGCGAAGCGTAACAACCAGCACGTATGTATTTGAATTGGCTAATATGTACAGCATATGGAACATTAAAACAAGAGAATAATGAATGGAGCAACAAATAGAGTATCAGTCATGTTCATCGCAGTTATCTCTCCCAAAAACCATTTGACGCAACTCCACATTAGCGATCCAGTTTTCCAGACAGACTCGGGCAATGTCCCCAAAACACCGATGGTCAAACACTGAAAGTCTTTCGACGTCCTCAGCATGCAATGTTGCTGGCCCATTTAATGATATGGAGCGCACCACAGCACTATAAACGGATAGGCTTGTATCACAGGCGATGCAGTCTCATGAAAGCTGCTATGGCCCCCGCAACCCAGATGGAAAAATCATCGGCTGGCGCACCGGGACCGGTACAACTGCCCTGAATAGGGACATCTACAAAATTGGGCGAGCAGTGGGTTTGGATTGGAAATCTGTTTATCTCGGTCTACGGTGCGTGGTATAGCTAAATAACTGTATATCTTGAAGAGAAAGCACCCGTTAGGACCAAACCAAACCACCGGAATTCGGGGTCTCTGGTGAAACTGGGCTGCCCGTAACAAGTGGATCAGGAATCACTATCTGTGTCTTCCTGGCCACTGATATGTAGTAAAATTTGATCAGTACTTATGCTTCACTATCAGAGGCTCGTAGCTGACTCACTACTTTCAGATGCTCGTGGACTCGGGCCTCAAAAAGGCTTCGCATACGGATGGAATTGGTGGACAGCCTACTTCTGTGCTTCCATCCAACAACGGCGGTCTCTTACGGAACGCACACTCGGAAGAACGGGCAAATTTGAAACTGGGTCAAATTATTCACATATCTCCGGGCGGTCGCATCCTGTCGTGACCACCCGCTACTGCTCTTACTACTTGTGCAGATAACAGTAGCTGGAAAAAATTATCGTTTAGGCATACGACGACCCGAGGGGACTTGATCGCCTGTCCAGCCATCTGAGCTGGTTCGTTTCGTTCCACGTGGTGCGTGTTTGCATAACTATCCACACCATAAATTTATACGGAAATCAAGGTGTGAAATATATTGTTCAGTCCAACGCACTGGAGTCTCCCTGTGACACATGTTTGTGTGCATTTTTGAGGTAACTGCATGAGTAAACGAATCCAGCTGGCCTCGGTACAGAAACGCACTCCGTTTCATATTCGGCTGATAAGTAAGAAACCAGTAAGGGTTCATTTCTAATGAGGATTGCGATCTAAGATTGAAAGGTGATCCGGAAGTTGGTACCTTCCTGTCTTCCAGGAATGATCTACTGAACTACCAGTGTTCAGCTGAAAGTGTAACGTTCCCGTGGTCATCGGAGAAGCATACTTTTCTCTCGACCAAAATAACAACCTACAAACTAAAGTAGTTCAGTGGCAGCCCTACAACTATCATAGATTCTTGATTAAGGTAACAGAATGAGAAAGCTTTCAAGCTGATATACCTCGCAACTTTCTCCCGGTAACTGGATAAACTGATAGCTACCGACCTGAGATCAAATCGTTCGCATGAAGAATGTCCTTCTCGGATTCACCCGTAAAATCCACGCCGGGATCTGCGTAAACAACGGAGACCGTTGTGAGGTGATTTAGTGATTTTCTGGTTCAGTTAAGTTCCGGTAGTTGGGTTCTTCTGATACTTGTGCCATGTAGGGTTTCAGGACGTATAAGTGCGAGCGGTTGACATCACTTGAGCTACCTGCACACATCTGGTCATTATTTTATCTTTTTGAGTATAATGTTAAGTATAATCCACAATTTCCTAGTACACGGTCACTAAGTCTCCTTGGTTGAGCCGAATAACTGACGTACGAGTTACGAATGCCACACTTACTCCACTCTGAGCGCACCTGTCCGAGCATTGTGAAATTCGAGTCCACTCTTTTTTCGCTTTAGTGTGACTAACCAGAATAGTCGTTCCGGACCACGAAAAGAACTGGTTAAACAAGGATCGCGCAGATGTTGATCCTACACAACCCTCAACTATTCACTCTTCTCGCCGCATTAGTTGTGGTGTCATAACCCTTACGGGGAACGAAGCCAGGCGGCCATCTCAAGAGGCGACCTCTCTCCGAAGAACCACACTTTTTTAGAGACTTACATAGAATCATGTCATGAGGAGTTGGCCCCACTTTATGAGGCCTACAAAATCAAATGATATTGCACTGTGTATAATCTACTGAGTGTTTCCATCATGCCTGTGTATAATCTACTGATTGTTTCCATCTTGGGTGTTTTCTTCCATCAAACCTGTTATCTTGTTTTCCTTTCAAGCAACTCGCAATGGGAACCCTGTTGGGAGCAAACACTTCGGCCAAGTTGCTTGGCAGTGCGCAAAACCTACTTAGCCACGTGAGTGGGCAAACTGTGACCGGGAAGATCTTACAGGTGAGTACGATGGCACTGATAGATTTTCCAAAGATCTCAAATTTCGCCTCGCATGATAACAATACGAAGAGCCGCTGAGACGTCTGATTTCTTGCATTGGATGGATGCCAAGTGCACTGGGCGGCTAGATAGCTCGGTGTTTAGAGCGCGGGTTTCCTGACCAGAATGTCTGGGTTGAACCTCGCCTCTACCTCTCGACTTCCCCTGTTTAGGCTTGGGCAACCTGGCAGTATCCCAGCCCTCGTGCAACCTTCGGGTGGCATGGCAGTTAGACACCGAAAGGGTGCTACAGCTGAACGATGTATGGTCAAACATATCCAATATCAATAAGACTGAACCACTAGAGACTCGATTAGAGGAATCTTTTATTTTTAGCCACTCCATCCGTTCATCCTGCAACACACCACGGCCTGATTGATGTAAACATTCGGGCCTTGTTTTTTATGAACATTGGTCAGGTTGTTGTCCTTGACCGTACGACCAAATGATTGCTTTTCAACAGGCTTTTTCTCATTTATTTTTCTTGTGAATTCTGTCGGTGTTGTAGGAGGTTTCGAAAGAACCAGAACGTGGCCTGACTCCATACCAGTGCGAGCTGCTCGATCTGTGCTTGGACACGATTCGAACTTACTTCCATGCCGGTGGAAGGGGTTTGAAACGATCGTTCCTGGATCGAAACCCCGAGTTGCATAGTCTGCGCCAGGTGCTGGCTCTCTACTCACAAGCCACGGATGAGCTCCTTCGGGATTTTGTGGCCATGCAAACTTCACAAGGTGAGTTTCTCATCCGAGTTAAGTCGCAATTGGTGTGTTACTCAAGTTTGATATAGTGCAGTACATTGCTGTACTTGGCAGTCTGATATTGGTGCGAATAGGCCAACTATGGGCCACATAAACGATTCCTCTGCGTTAGGAGTTCTAAATCTTTGTGTTTTTATCTCACTTTTCCCACTTCCCTGCATGGACTCTTCCGGTAAAGGCGAAATTCAAATCATATTAGTAGGGGACCGAATGACACTGTCGCCTATCACGGTTATCCCGAAGCGAGGCGACTCCAAATTGAGGCCATCCTCGACTTTCTGAACACTGTGCCTGGTCAAATGCGATCTAATTTAGGGATTTGTCGAAGATTAACTTCTCAGAAATGGTAAAAACTCACTTGTTCCTCACTGTGGAGTTTCTGGATTGATTCTGGACAGCTTCTTGAACAGTCATCTGAGGACTCCTCGAGGAGCAAGTCAATCAACACGTGACCATTTGTTGTGGACACCATGACGAAAGGATGAGTGGTTCTGTGCAAGCTAATCACACCGCTAATCGGCCGCTCGTGGCAGAACTGATAAGTGTTCAAACTAGTATGAGACACCCTAGATTTTCGTACGATGCGCACCACTGATGACCCTCAATGAGGATAAAACATCTGCAAGGTGCTTCTGAACCTTTCAGCATAGACTGGATTCACTCACAGGACGAAATATCTACTGGGAGAAATCAAGTATATGAGAAAATAGATTGTCCTTCAAAGAACCGTCTTCAAAGGGTTCCCTCGAAAAAAAAACGTTTCACTAGTGACAGGTTGACTCACAAGAAGTTTTTGTCCTAGTCTACTAAATTCTCATTTGCATCATGAGGCCAAGACGACACTATTTCCTTTGTTTACAACTGATGCTCCAGGTATCTGATGATCCGTGGTCGATAACAGCCAGTGCAACATAGTGAACTCACACCGTGATCGTCCAATACAGACCACTGAACGAGGTCATTTATCCACGCACAAGGCCGATGAAGGAACTTATTAGTGTTTGATTGGTATGAGCTACCGTGAACCGCTTCATCTTATCACTTGCGACTGTGGAATGATTGAAGGAAAGTTGTTGTAGGTTAATCAAAGACAGTACCAGATAAGTCAGAGAACGATCAATAATGTTCTAGTTAGATTATCGACCGCGATCCTAAGAAAGGAAAGAAAGAAAGCGTTCAGCTGTAGCACCTTCCGGTGCCTAACTGCCATGCCACCCGAAGGAAGCACGAGGGCTAGTGTACTGCTAGGTTGCCCAAGCCTAGACAGGGGAAGTCGAGTGGCGGAGGTCGGATTCGAACCACGAACCTTCCGGTCAGTAAATTCGCGCTCTAACCACTTGGGCCATCTCGCGATCCTAACAAGAACTGGGTGCTCAAATACGTGTTTTTTAAGTCCGTGGTATTTCCTGTCGAAGAAGTTTCGTTTTCTCACGTAGAGACTGCACTGGAGAGCATTCCATACCTTCAGAATTGTCTTCTCTATGAGGACGCTTCCTCAATTTGGGACTTTCTCAACGAGAGTACTGGATTACGATTGAGTATCGGCTCCAGCGCGGCCCTCGCCGATCCATAAATCCGACCACCTCATGAGAGGTGTTCCAGGTCAAACGTTGCTTCCGTTGGGGAACAGTACTCTTTGCTATCCCGTCAGGGCAGAAAAAGTCTCCTGTAGTTTTAACTTATTGTATCACTCCCCGACTCTACATCTAAACGCAAGTTCACTTTGTTCAGAGTGACTCTGCTGTTTACATGCATCCACACTTGACGCGTTTGACTTCCAGTATACCGAATAAAAATTAGACATCACGGCATGAGCTTTACCCCCCCTCCAGCAAAAGCGACCACCATGCTGTTCTCCACTTTATCGATTTGCAGACAGTGTCATACAGTAAAGTGACCCTATAACAATACTTGGTTCTAGGAAGGCGTTTTCTGTAAATCGTGTTGAACCTCAAGAATCTCCTGCTAACGAAGATATAACTGAATCGAGAGCTTGTGTACAGTAATTATATCAAACTCTTATGATTGCAAACATTGGAACTTATGCTAAGAGTGCGAACCGTTAAGTTTACCGAACCGGTGGTTGTAGGGGGAGGGGTGATTTTTGCTGAGGCTGTACTACTGAATTCTCATAGTTGTAAAGCAACTGCGGCTAATTTTCTCCACCCTTGATTGGTCTAATTATAGATCCTTGTTAGGTTACCATTGGAATGACATCCAATCAAGTATGTCATGTTTCTTCACAAACAGACATCTTATTTTATTTGCAACGATTGTCAACTGATAAAACCCTCTTCAGCGTCCAGCCCTCTGACTGATCCACTTCAGCTATCGCTGAGGGGTTCAATATTTCCTTTTCCTCAATGCCAAACAGCTTTTCAGCAAAGCTCTCAAAGGGAGTTCTCGAAAAACAGTGCAATTTGGGTTCAAGTAGATCATAAGGTTGACGGAAACTCGGGGACTGCGCCTAGCTGATGAGCCCCAAGAAGGGC